TAGGATCCCCACTTTCCAGGAAGATTATATAACTGCCCAAAGTTACCCTGTTATTATAATTTTTATTTTTTAGTATATAGTTGGTATAGGATGGTTGTCACTATTATATTGGTACAATTATTATGTTATAAATGACTGATTGCCTCTGGGGAAGAAAAATTCCCAAGCAGCAACTAGTGGCTTGTGGAGCAGTCACTTAGCTGGGCCCTGGAGATGGTGCACGGGATGTGACTGCCCATAGCGGGGCCAGAGGAAAAGACAGCAGGAGCTGGCCCTCCCCATTCGGCCCCTTCCTCCCGGCTCCCCCAGGAGCCACATGAGGTGCTGGGCCAGCACAGCCTGGCTTGCTGGCCATCAGGGTCTCCAAGCTGGGGATGCACAAGGACAGAACCTTTAACCAGCCCTCCAGAGGGTATCTGCTGTCTGGGTGCAGTTGGGGATGAGGTGTGGGAGTCGGCGGACAGGTCTCACAGGAGGCAGCGGGCACAATCCCATGCCCTCTGTTGCTCCTCTGCAGGGACAGGAAGAGGCTCCAATCCCTTGGAGGTGAAGCCAGCCCCAGAGATGCCCGAGGTGGCGTGTGAACTGGGGGAGGGAGATGCAATACTGTCCGGGTCACCTGAGTCTCCTGCCGGTTAAGCCTGCAGGTCCCCTGTCCACCCCAGGCACTCACTGCCCAGATATTTATTCCAGGCGAAGCCCTGAGGACATAGGGATGGGTCTGTAGTCCCCATGACTGTCAGTGGAGGACACAGTCCCTCCTGCATCCCCCACCTCCCTGCACCCACCTCCCAACAAGGCTTTTAACATTTTTGAAACTTCCCTGATGTCCTGCAGAGACAGCCTGCAGGGCCCATGACACAGGCAGATGACTAGGGTCTCAGAGCTCTCCAAAGCCTCCCAGCGATTTCTTCCTGCCCTGCAGGGAAATGGCAACAGCCCCTTCCCACTGCCCTTCTTAGGGGAGCACACACCATCCCATGTTCACACTAAGGCTTTAGTGGCTACCTGCCTGTACCATACAGCATGCTGGGCCCTGGACACTAGGGGCTAGACACCCAGAGATGCACAGGTCACCCAGCCAGCTCCCAGGGAGCTCTTGGAGGTAAGCGTGGCCATGAGGCAGTGCGCAGTAGTGGTTAGGGTTGAGCTCCTGGAGGCTGATGGCTTAGGTGTGGATCATGGCTGTGTGGCCCTGCACGAGTCCCTTAGGCTTCCTGTTGCCTCAGTGTCCTCTTTGGTAAATAGAGTTAATATCAGTGCCTACCTCTAGGGATGTTGTAGGCATAAATGAGATAATCTCTGTAAAGCACTTAGAAAACAGCCTGGTCCATGACAGAAGCCATATGTGTGAGTTACTAGTCATAGTGGTGGTAGAATCATAGTGCAACCAAGAGGTTAAGGGTAACCACCGAGGTCATGGGGAGTGTCCCAGGCCATGGGGACAAGGAGGGAGAGGAAGAAGGGATTTTGTGAGAATTCAATGAGATAAGGCGTGTAAAGCGCTTGGCTCGGTTCCAGGCACACAGAAAGCATGTTAGCTCCTGCTGGCATTATGCTGCCATCCGTGAGCTGGGACCACAAGGGTTAGCCTCATGGTGACCCACAGTGGAACGATATAAATGCACAGCAAACGTGAAACACGGGGCTCTAATGGGCAGCCCCTTCCCCTCCCATCACCCCAGAGAAGCTCTCCATTTCGTTCTGCCAGAACTCTGGCCTTCCTCAGGGGGACGCCAGAGGTGGCTGAACTCGCGGAGGGCTTGGAGTCCTCCCTTGGCTGTAGCTGCTACCACAAGCTCTCTGTCTGCACACAAGTCTCCAGCTAAGCCTGCAGGTCCCCTGTCCACCCCAGGCACTCACTGACCAGGTATTTATTCCAGGATCAGTTCTGTAAGAGACGGACATGCCCTGAGCCCCATAGCCCTGCCCTGCTCACCTGGCCCCACTAGGGCAATGCCCACCTAGGGGCTGACAAACCCCTCTTCCTCCTGAGAACTAGGCAGAAACCCCCACCCCAGGAGAAGGTGGAGTAACCCCTGCTCCACCCAGCTCCCTGGGCCCCCTCAATCTCTGTGTGGCTAAAGTTGGATGAAAAGCCACATTCACGGTGGCCTTGTCCAAGGAGGTGAAAAACAAAGGATACTCCTCAGGCAGTATTAGTGGGTTCCTCGGGATATCTAGGTGGGGTATTTTAATTCTGCTTTTTTCTGTATGTAGGCTTAGAGCCCGCCATCCAAAGCAATAAACATATTAATCTGCAAAGCCCAAGCCCTGATTGTTTGAGACCTCTGCAGCCTTGAATAATTAGAAATTAGTCCCTCTAAAGGGTCCCCCAGCTATTCTGTAGGGTGACCAGTCATCTCGGGACTGAGGCCTCCGAGACACTCCATGCCGACTGCAGGGCATGTTTTCATCTTCCTCCTGGCATCACCACTGCCTTAGTTTGTCTGTCTGTAAAATGAGACTTGAACCAGACTGGGACTCCTCCACAGTTTTAGGAGCCAGAACATGGGGAACTGCAGTTTTATGGCAGAGCCCCCAAAAGAAGGGAAAGCTGACATCTGGTCTCATTATTTTAAGTTTAATTTGCAGAGAACAGTTTGATTGAATCAAACCAAAACTCTTGTTTTAAAACAAAACTTGAAACCACAGCTATGAGCACGTGGTCACAGGAAGAAAACACTGTCGAATGGGCACCGTCAAAATGAGCAGGTGGCTGCCTGCAACTTTTCCCATGAATGTTTGCCGGCTCCTCGTTCATTTGTCTGCCTACTGGCACTTCTGTGCCAACAAGTGGTCACAGGCACCAGAGATTCCAGAAAAGCTTGTTGGAGAAAACTGAAATCAAGAAGAGAGTGGCCATTAATTCACAGGGGGATTCTTTAGTTCGACTGGGGAAAACTCATGATTCCATTTTGGTAGAGAAAAATCCAAGTCCAGCTTTTGAGGTGCCACCAGCATTTCAAAGGAGGCTGGCCTCAGACTGATTGGACAGAAGGACACTCAGGGCCTTTTCCCAGCCAAATCCTAGGATGTTCTCTAGCCCCAGCTGCTGTGTGAGTCACTGTGCAGCTGGTCCTGGCAGTACCTTAGGGGCCCAAAGCAGGGGCCAGGGGCAATTGTCCTGACTTTTTGTCCCAGCATCAGCTGTTCCCACAGGCACAAGAGCAGGCCACAGCCAAAAGCATGGCCAGATGTCAGAGGGGATCAACGGGGAACAGAGGCAGCTGGGCAGAGGCCCTGCATTCACGGGACAGCAGCCAGGTTAGGCACACTTGCCTGGCACTGGGTTCCAGGAATGGCCAAGCTGACAACCAGCTGTCCCCTGGTAGAGGCCGCCCTGGCAGCTGCAGAGGGGCTAGTGAACCCTTGCAGGGATCCTAGCCCAGGGGCGCTCTGTGTGCAGCTTGGAATCACACACAGGCGCTTGGGATCACCCCACCCGTACAACCCAGACAGGTGACAAGCCAGGGTCAGGAAGCCACTAACAAAAGGCACAAGGAGTGACATGACAGGAGACAGGTGGCCAAAGGCATTCATCCCTTCAACAAACATTCACTGAAGGACAGCAACACATGAACCTTCAGCATCCACCAGCTTTATCTTTTACTTTTATTATAGCAGGTAATACATACCCTTGGTAAAAAAGAATTCAGGAGTGTATCAAGTAAAAACATGAAGTCCCCCTCATTTTACATCTCCAGTGCCAGCCCCCAAACATAATCATTAACAGTTTGGGGTGTGGTCTTCTGGACTTTACAGGCATCTATAAAATATCTGTATCTGTGCATATATAGTCTCTAAGCCAAAAGTAGGATTTTACTCTTCAAACTATTTTGCAGCTTCATCTTTTCCCTTAACATCACATCACATTTTATGTGTCACTTCATATATCTAGTCTTTTAAACAGCTAAATAATATTCCATAGCATGAGTATAAGGCATGAGGCTTTCATCTGTGTCCTGTCTTCCGCTCTCACATTGTTGTGATGAACATCTGCAGACATACTTTCTCCTACACTGGTCTGAATATTTGTGCTCTGAGCTCCAGCAGCATCCTGGATCGTGGATTTGGTATATTAAAATGTTTAACAGATATTGCTAAACAGCTTCTGAAAATAGCACACAATGGTACTTTGCAAATAGCGGTGGTTGTTAACACTTCCAGGGCTCTCAATTCCTTGAAGAAATACATGAAAGTTTAAGACCTGCCCATCCACCCATTCAACTTATAATTTTTAGGAGTTCACAGGCCCAAACAGCACTCCAGGCTAAGACCTCTCTTTGCAGGAAGCCCCCAACACGACAGTGAAAAACTGTGATGACATCTTTTTCTCCTGAATGTCATTTGAGCGCCTCAGGCAGGGGCCACCTGATTCACAGGAGCAGCCCGGCCCTGAAAGGAGAAAGCTGGGACACTACCAAGCGCAGCTCTGCTCAGGTAACCTGATTATTTTCTTGTGTGTGTCCTGTAGGTGATTGCAAATAACCATCAGAAGTCCCAGGGGGACTGTCTCAGACTTGGAAAGGTCACAGAAGGAGAATAATAGAGTGACAACTACATGAATCACACCTTGGTGAAAGTCTTATTAGTAAACCACCCTCACAGCCAGAGCCCTAAAAGCAAGAAATAGACCGGGGTGAGGACAGCTTAGGAGACCTCGGGGACAGGGCCTTCTCCGGGGAAGCCCAGCATCTCACTGTCACAGCACGGCTGCCCTGAGGTCCTTCAGCCAGGAAGGCACCTGGAGGCACCGGCTGGACTCAGGAAGACCTGGGCCCAGCCAGGTGTCTTCACTGGTTAATGGTGTTCCCCTAGACAAGTGACTTAACCTCCGAGCTCAGGGCATCCTGCCCGGTCACCGTCCTGGGATAGGATGGGGATAGAATGAAGTAAGAGATGGGGAAATGTTTCCCAAAAGGCACAAGTCTCTTTTATAAGGAAGAACAAAGAGTCGGAGCAAAATGAGGCAAGAAATAGGCAAAAGAGAGTCTGTATTCACCGAAGATTTTTTTTTAAAGAATACTGCCATAAGAAAAATTGACAATTTTTTCTAATTTCACTTCAGATTCACAGATTTTTTAACTGTTCAGACTCTGGTAGCCCCAAACTTGCTGATCTAAGAGAGGTGTTGGTTTGTTTCAAGCCAACAGTTCCTACAGATGGGTGCTTCTCAAGTAGGGCTCAAGTTTCAGGGGCTATCTGGCAATGTCTGAAGACCTTTCGGGCTGTCACGACTCAGGGAGAGGTGCCACCTGCATCTGTGGAGTGGAGGCTGGGGACACAGCTAAACATTGCACAGTGCACAGGACAACAAAGGACTGTCTGGCCCCTAATGTCAATAGTGCCAAGGTTGAGAAGCCCTGCTCTAGAGAAAACACAGGGGTCAGAGGCCACAGCCACTAGTAGGGGACCAGGCCACTGGTAGAGAGTCACATGGTCTCCATGACATTCTTCTGCTCCTCTTCTTCCATCGCTGGTCCTTTGTCTCCAGGTTGGAAGCTGCTAAGAGCCTGTCTGCTACCCGCCGGGAGAGGGAAGATCCTCTACAGGCCACAAAGCCCTTCAAAGCCTGACAGCCACAGCGTAAGGGAGTTCAGGCCTCAGCCGCCGCCGGCCTGGAGCAGGAAGGTTTTGGAGTGAAAGCGAAGACAGGATGAGGAGTCCCGGCCACATTATGTTTTAAAGAAAAGTTTTTTCCGGAGGAAATTAAAACAACCAGGCATCTGTTTGTAAATCCTTTTCTGCGAAACAGCATTAGCCACCTGTGAACACACAACCACGGGGAGGTCTGTGAGTTCTCATGACCAAAGCAAGAATTCCAAAGTGGGGCTGGGATGGCAACTGGCCACTGAATAGGCACTTTAAAAACAGCTCTGGCTGCGGTCTTCTTGAGTGGTAAGTTTAAAGAACAAGGATCTCAACTATAAGGAAGCTCAAAACTCAAGATTTCAAAACTCAAGAATTCACAAAGTTCAAATCGGATCAAAAGGTCTGCTTTAAAAAAGTTGAGACTTGAAGGAATCGGGCCCAGGAACTGAGTGCACTTCTTAGCTCTGATGGGCCCCTACCCCCATCCTAAGAAGCCCCTGGCTGCTGGTAAGGGTTGTTTACCCAGGGCCACAGCACAGGGTGCCCCCAGGAGTCGTGCCAGGCGGTGGCTCCGCACCTGCAGTTCATCTCTGCTCTGCTCTGCTCAGCAGAGCACCAAGCCAGGGCCTCCCCGAGAGCAAGGAGTGGTCCCAGCCCTCACAGCCCCTTCTTAGGGCACAAATACCCGAGCAGAGCAGGAGGCGTGTGAGCAGAGCCCGTGTGCTCCGAGATCTTTACAGAAAGCAACTGCTCTCAATGGGATTTCACTCAGTGAGACTGGGACCCGTCCGGACCATCCTCCCTGTCCCCTCACTGGGGCCTACCAAGAAGGGATATATACAAGAGGGATCCAGGACTTCTGAGGGTCAAGCGTAGCAGACTACACAGTAGGGCGAAGGGGATGACCTGCCTTTGGGGGTGCCATGCTCTGGCCACGAGCCTTCCTGCCCTGGCATGAGGACAGGCTCTGTCAGCAGGGGTTGTGGGGGGCGTCAGCCTGGGACCTCAGAGGAGCCAGGGAAGGCAGCCCTTTGAATAATGTGCAAATATCACCACAGGCAGCAACATCTTGCACTAAGAGAAGCAAAAGCAGCAACTCTCACGCAAGCCAAGACGCAGAAGAAACCTCTGGTTTGGGCTTGGGGCCCTGAGGATGCACTGCCCCGCCCGGGAGCTGCCCCCCCTCCCTCCCCGAGAAGGCAGCGCTCACCCTGAGCAGGAGGGTCTGGAGGTCTTCAGAGTGAGCCCACTGCTCTAGGACGCTGACCAAGGTCTCGATGTACCAGGAGCCTCTCTTGGTCTCCCTCCAGGAGACAAAACCTTTGGAAGGACAAAGGCAGACACTGGCTGGAGAGCCGCCCCCTCCCCGTGCACGCAGGCCAGAGCTGCCTCCAGACTGACCTGTTCCCATGCCTAGTGGGGGTGCCCGCGTGTCTGTGCTCTGTCCCATTTGTGATTATTTCATCCTCGCCACCACCTTGTGACTTGGGACATTTTTTTATTCCCATTTTGCCAACAAGAAAACCAAGGCTCGGAGAAGTTAAGTGACTCAATGGATAAGGAAGGAAGGAAGGAAACTAACACTGACCACACCTCCTACGCACCAGGCCCTGTGCTCGGTGATGTGCTGGCCTCCTTATTACTCCCCACAGCAGCCCGAGCTGTGATTGCTATTCCCCTTCTAAAGATGAGAAGACTGAGGCAGAGTCAGGCCCAGGGTGAGGCACTTAAATTTGCATCCTAGGTGCCTTGCTGCTTTGCCTGCCTCGCCCTGAGCGGAGGCTCCGAGGGAAGTAACTTGCTTAGGGTCACGAGGTGACAAGAGGCACGCACCCAGCTCTTCCCTTCCCAGCGCAGTTCTCCTAGGGCAGGAGGCCCTGCTGGCTCAGGGGACAAACTCCCCGAGGTGCTCACCTGGGAAGGTGGAGTAGGACACAAGGATGTCGCTGGGTGTGGGCAAACTGGACCTGGCGTCTGGCTCGTCGGAGGTGCCCGGCCCTTCTGGGAATGGGACAGAGTCTGACTCAGTGTCCTCACCAGGGGTTCTGTCTTCACAGGAAGTGGAGGCCACCTCAAATCCAGGGTCTTTCTGCTCTGCAGGAAGCACAGACACCACTGGTCACTGAAACTCACAGGGCAGAGCCCCTGCCCCTTGCTGCCTGGCGCCCTCCAGCCCACCCCAGCCAGAGACCGCCCGACTCCCGGTGGAGCCAGGGTGCCAGTGCCGGGCCAGCATGAGCGGGGAACCAAACAGGTGCTGGACTTTTACTAAAATCAAAGTTTTGTGTTTTTTTTGTTTTTCTGTTTT